TAAATTTAAAAATTCATGCTATACGTACAACCAAAAAAAGATTTTGTATTTCCATAAGTGGGGTAAAACTATGGAATAATTTAAGTGTAGACATAAAAAATAGTAATAGAATTGACAAGTTTAAACATAAATATAAAGGTACGTGTCAATCAAAATATATGCAAGAACAGGCTTAATGATTAATCAGGTGTAACATTGTGGGTGTGGTGTAAGAATGTTAACACTGTAATATTTCTACTTGTGTGATGTAGAAGATAATTATCAAAGTATGTAATTATGTAAGAATGTTAACAATCTGTAATAATTTTTTAGTATATCATTAGCGTGGTGTAGAACAAAATTATCTATGTAGAAATACTGCTTGCAAACCAATGATGGTAAGATGATGTTATGGGGTAGAACTGGATAAGTTTGACTTCTTCTTACTCCGTTCAAGCATGTACTAGGTATAGCAAATTGATAATGCATTTGTGGATATGTGTGAAATTATGTGTGTTGACATATTGACTGTCGTTACATGTTTGAAAGAATAAATCAAATCAAATCAAATATTGTTACATGTATACTTCTGTGTAACTATGCTGCTGTTGTTTAATCTCAAGAATCCAAATTTAGCTGATATTTTTAAAATATTCTGACTAATAAACTTTGAAGGATTTTGTTCCAACAAGGTCTCAACTATGCCAGATGAAGTTGCAGAGACTTACCTGCTACCCGTGCGCTGCTGCTCACGCTGACGTTACACCGATCTGGACCAGAGAGAGCCAGAGGAAGAATCGCTGACCACAGCACAGCCCAGAAGAAAGGTGGCATTGCTGGGTGCAGTGTGGGCTACGAGTTGGGCTCGGGAAACACATTGAACTGTGTGTAGAGCACTGAATTGGCTCACTTACTAGAAATAAAGAAGAAATGAGTCATGACCACACTACCAGTACTTGCTTCCGCTTTGAATGTCTGCTTGTGGTGGGATTTCACCGCACGCATGCCTGCCTCTTATCTCTCTCTCTCACATGTGATGGGCTCTGACTAAAAAATACACCTGCTGTCACTGGGGATTACACACGGCAAAGTGAAATACCAAATACTGTGACATAGATGGCTCTTTTCTACCTCGCACACACACACCCTGCTGATATTATACATTTAAACCTGCAACAAAAGGAATTTTAGTGTTTTGTCACTGTAGGTGTGTTTGCTACATTTTCAATTTAGCAAAGTTTTTATGGGCTACAAAACAATTTTATAATTAAATAACTTAAAATCTATTTCTGTACAAAATATCATTCAATTTCAGTTGTTATCCAGTTTTAACCATATAACTTTTTATTTGTACCACAAATGTATAATTTATAAATGTAAAAAAAACTGTTGTTCCTGTCATAAGTAAATAAGTCCATTAGCATCAATTATCACCTTTTGTCAATTATAATAACCAAATATCTGCATTTAACAAATAGCAAAGTTTGTTCAGTTCTGAATGATATAGTACATAGGCTGAATATGAACGTGCACACATCAACACATTTTCTAATCCTATAGGACCTCACAGTGATAACTGAATGTATTGAGCATATTTTTTATTATATCTGACAAATGAATTCATAAAATGTCTTTTCAAAATCATTTAGTAATACCATTACCATGTACAAAATGTACTTTAGTGTCTGTGAAATACTTGTCACGATGCTTATATGTAAATAAAGTGAGAAATATGCATTTATGAAAGTAAAAGTGAAAAGATTAAGAAAAAGGAAAAACATACAGCATAAACATGTCATGTGATATTTAATTCAAAGGGGGATTTCAAGGGTCACTCAGACATAACAGCCTGCGCTTCTGCTTTTTAGCGGCTGTTAACAGTTGACGGTCTGG